AAAGGGCGTAACGGAAAACCACGTCATAAGTGATAAGAGATCACAGAAGACATATACCACAATGTGGGCATGGAATGACAACCGGAAGTGACGTCACAGATGACGTCATCGCCGGAAGTGACGTCATAATATGTCTAAGTATCACTGTGGTGGATATATACACGGATATTATACCCATTATATGACGTTTGAAATTTCTCTATGTCTAGTCTTGTAAGTAGACTATTAGACATATTCCGTTTGAGACACTTTTGGCATGAAATACTTGGGTTACCCTTTCACAAAGCCAAATATCTAAGGGATGCTAGATACCAGAACCCACCGGTCCCTCTGGTGTATACCGGCAATGATGTAATAGAGGTAGGGTATTCACAAGAATGATCAAACAATAGTTATCATTGTGAATAATTCTAAGAATACTACCTCTATTACATCAGGAATTAATCCCTCCCACCTCCCCAAATATCTGCATCTAGTTGATGAGGATAATGGGTTGACAGAAGAGAGGAGATTCCCGCCTTGCGCATGCGCAGTGGCACCACTGGCGAGGGATAGGGTTTCCCTCACAGCTATTAGATATGTTGGCAGTAAAGAGGACGTCTGTTGAAAATTTATAAAAGTTTATAGTGTGGTTCTCAGCATAAACAGAAATTTATGGCAATGATGTTATAGAGGTAGTATTCTTAGAATTATTCACAATGATAACTATTGTTTGATATTGAAAGATTGCGAAGCATCTGTTGAAAAAATCCCCCAAAACAAGACCAATTATCGCTCGAATGTGAAACTGGGAGGACAAATGTCAGTCAGTGATACTGAGAGACATACTTAAACAGTACGGAGTTGACAGAGCAAACGATCTCACAAATCATCAGAGACAAAAGATGTACACACTACTATAAAAAATATACGTATTAAAAATCCCAATACCAATAAGGCAACAAACTTGTACAAAAGGTAAGGGAAGACAGTAGTTTGAGGGAAGATGACAGTAACCTAGACAAGGACGACAACTGAGGTCGACCCCGCGTACATCTGACGGGGCACAGTCATATTTGGGGTGTGCCTAGGCCTGAGTGAAAGACAGTGATTATACGATGCACCAGGTGAATTGTGACAGTGACATGAAATTTAAATTTTGGAACATTCCTGGAATCTCACCAAAATTAACTGGGATTAACTTTCTTAATTACATTCTGTCTTTTGATATAGTTTTTACAACTGAAAATTTGAGTTTTAACTTAGACTTGAATAATCTATTCTCAGATTATGAAATTATTACCAAAAAGAAAATATCTGCAAGGCGAAGACGTGATAAAAAAGAAGTTTTGTTAAAATTTGAAAGGGTAAAAAACAACGGCAACTGTTATTTTCATTTTATAGGACAAGTCCCTCTTGGGATCATTTCAACTCACTTCATACCTGTGTACATATCCAACCAGGAGTGTTAACCTGGTATGATAAACTCAGTCCACACTGTGAAACTGGAATTACTCTATTTCAGGAGAAGCTCTTAGAATTACTCTGTTCTTGTGCAGGGGAGGTTTTAATGCCCGAAATGGTATTAGGCTTGATTTCGTGGAGGGTGATATCATTAAGCACAAGTCAATGTCAATTGATGTTGGATTTTCTTTTTAAATATCTTCGGCGCCTTTCCTCCGACAAAGTTGTAATGAAATTTTGGTACTGAGAAGATGTGGTACTTAAATGTTGGCGATTCTACCTTTACAGGTGTAAATAGTGCTGGTGTACTTGATTATATTCTTAAGTACGTTTTGAGAACATAGATAATAGTGTGGGTTTACTCCCATGAGAACTCCAGCTGTTAGAACTGCAGCCCAAAATAGAAGCCAGCGTTATGTAACCACAACTGGCCTGGCCCTATCATTGATAATGGAATAGCCTCTCCAGTTGGCCTGTCCTCATCTGGCCTACACCTCATATCGCCTACACTACTATCAAAACAAATTTATGGATGAGTGCACATCACACTTGTACCCTTATCCCTTAAGTAAAATGAACTCATTATATCAGGTAAGGTAATGTATACACACTTATAAAACTTTTGAGATGAGAAGACCTTTTAAAAGTGGATTATAACAGTAATCCTGTATAAACATTCAAAACAAACTCAAGGATCAGATACCACTAGGAAAACATCGGATTAGTTCAAAGACCCATGTATTCAGGTAATTAATTCAAATTAATGAATGAAATCATTAATGGGTTAATGGACAGTACCATTCTACACATCAGGGGCGTGGAAGTAACCATTTGTATTTAGTGTAGGCCAGATGAGGTGTAGGCGATATAAGGTGTAGGCCAGATGAGGGCAAGCCCTCCAGTTACCCATTAGAACTTCAGTAATCTCTTTGAATAATAAGAAATATAAGAAAATAAATATACTGATTAGATAAATTAAATAAGCCAACATTGAATTCCCCGATGCAGAAGTGAAAGGGTGCTTCTTCCACTTTGCACAAGCCATCTAGAGAAAGACTCAAAGTCTTGGCCTTGCAGTATTATACACAGAAGACTCCGACGTCCAAAAATGGATCCGGAGAGCAGCTAGACTTCCTCTCCTCCCTCCAACCTGGATAGAAGCGACTCTTTGGGTGCCACACAGTTAGGAGTTCAATGACTATGTTGTGGCATAGACCTTATCTCGACTATGGGTCTTTGTTCCCTATTGGTCTATGGAACCACTACCCGGCAACTGGATCAAGAACAAACAACAACTTAGAAGGATTCCATTCCCAACTCAATAAATCCTTGCCTTATCATCACCGGAATCTCTTCAGATTTACTGACATCATCAGTTCCATTGAGAAGTGTGAACGTGCCACATTGAACCAGATTGAGTCTTTAGAGAAAACGAGAGCGCAGTCTTGAAAGACTGAAAGTTCAACTGCAAAGACAAGAGAAATCTTCTCTACAGTACCTGGATGCCTTGAGCTAGTAAGGTGATCTTGGCTGACTCTGTTGTATATAGAGAGTATGTGACAACTTGAATGCAGAGATTGCTGACTTCGACTTCGTTAACTTATATGTATGAATGTTATGCTATCATGTATGTAAGAAGGTGAATAAAGTGCATAATAAGACACCAAGTATCATGTTGTTCTTATGGCAGTAAAAATTTGGCCAGTCCATTAACATAAAGGTGGTAAACACCAATCGCCCCGACCACTAGATAATAACTTTTGTTGTTTTAAGCTGCAGTTATTATGGGATGTAGTGTGATACCATGTCGTACTGAATCTACACATCTTCTATTGACGTTTCCTTACGATAATCATACACTGAAACAAATAACAAAACTGATAAATCATTTAAATTTGTTTGGGAAAATTTGATGAATAAATCTGCGGATACAGCATTTACAAATATTGACATAAGTATCGAGTATATAGTGGAGTGGTTGAAAGTTGACAAAAGGGAGGTAGTATCAACAGATGGTTTGATGACGATCGTCTGAACAAAGATAGACGTAGGGTTTTGAATAAATTTAGAAACTATGAAGATACAAATTCTCTAGGAGACTACAATTGCAGTGGAAACAAGTATAACGCTACTTGCAAACACCAGAGAAAAGACAATCTGAACCAAAATGCCAAAATTAACGGCGGCTTAACTACATACTTGAAACAATTGTTTTCATTCATCGATATTGACTGCGATAAATACACAACACAAACAAATCCTGATGTACAATCTGTAACTGAGATTCTCGATTCACCAATATGTAAGAATGATATACTGGAAAGTACACATCTTAAATGTATTAAATGACCTTGACTACACAATATTCTACTGACCCGTGAAGTTCCCGGGGTAGAATAGGTCTTCAGCAACCCATGCTTGCCGTAAAAGGCGACTAACGGGATCGGGTGGTCAGGCTCGCTGACTTGGTTGATACATGTCATCCATCCCCACTGCGTGGATCGATGCTCATGATGTCGATCACTGGATTGTCTGGTCCAGACTTGATTATTTTACAGACCGCCGTCACATGGCTGGAATTATGCGGCGTTAAACAACAAACAAACAAACAAACAATATTCTACCTGAACTGTTTAAACATTCAGCATCCCTATAACTCCCTTATCTCGAACTCCTATTTGATGTACATGTAGTATCAGAAAAACGGCCGTTTCCCTGATTGATGATCAATGGGCGTAATAGTACCTATACATAAACAAGGTGAACTGAATGATATGGATCATTTTAGAGGTATTGCTCTTATGTGGGTGGGTGGTGTGTGTGAGAAAAACTAGTGCAGCATGAATAATCTTGAAGACGAGTAACATTTGCTTCTTGCGTGCGCAATACACACACCATTAAGACTCTTAAGTATCTACCAGACTACTATTATGATGATCCAAATTGTATCAAATTTGCGTCCTTGTTAACTCGTGCTAATAGTTGACGTTTACAAAACTTATCTATTTTATTTATCATGCAAAACAGAAGAAGCATTCTCTCACAGAAATAAGCATGCTGCACATCTCAGCAGTAATAGGTCTGTGGCCTCTTCAGTACCAAATAAAATTGAGATATGTACTTGCATATTCTCATAAATCCCCAAATCATTAAATATAACATGGCTTGCATGTTCTGATAAACGACACGTCCTTTTATTATCCTTTAAGATAAATACCTTAAAAGATATTTGTTTTACATTTAGCCTCAAGGTAGGTCATAAAAATGTGCATGATTGCTGATGAAAGATATTTACTAGATTCACAGCATGACGAGAGATTTGCTCTTGGTTATTTTGCTTTTAGATATCATTTTGCATTTTTCGCCTGATAGTCTCCCATCTGCAACAAAGAAAGTGAAGTGATGAGTTCCATGTCTGATATGTAAATGTTACAAACGTCAGTGGACACACAGTTCGCATTCACGAGTAATGATCTATGTATTCCATATATCAACGCACAAAACAATAAAAATCATATTTTGAAAAATGACATGTTTCATATTCATTTTTCAGCTTGTCACCCACATGATACCTCGACGAGAATCTCTGGTCCAGGTACGTGGTTAGATCTATAAAGCATAAGTGAGTGAATGTTTTTAAACGCCGCAGTCATCCAACAATTCTGAATATTCATAATATTTTGTTTGTTATCGAATGTGTTTTTTCTGGGACACGTGAGGTCGAATCATCTAAGGCTCAGTAATTCACTATGCAGCGTTTTGTCCTTTAGCTGTGCGAGAATCAGATGATTTAGGGTTTGAGTCTCAGATTGGCTCATTCACTCTTTCCTCGACATGGGTACAAAGTGTGAAACGTGTCCACATCCATGATATTATTGGAATATTGTTAAAAACGGCATTAACCATACTCACACAATCGATGGCAATTGGTGTGCATCAGGTTGTTGCTTGTCATTGGTGAATTGTAACCAATGATGACAGATATTATATAATTGGCATTTTGACACTTACTTATTTCCTTTTTGTTTCAGGTGAAAGAACGACAAAACCCACTCCCACTCCAACAGGTTTGTTTTTTCCCCTTTAGTTTTGTATGCTGTATGACTTCGTGTGCAGTTAATGTTGTCTAAGATGGTTCCATTTTTACAGACAATACTATCAACCACTTCACAAATAGTATTATATTACTATTAACGACTTCTAAATAAAATGCTCTGTTTAATGACAAGAACCATTGTTAAATTGATATATTGTTACTGCCAGCTGATTCTACCAGGATCCGAAATTATATCAATTTTAACCACACAATTTGAGACTAATTGCTGTTTTGATTAGTGTAAGCAAATATAATAACTGAAAAATGAAACCTAGCATCATTTAAAGTTCAATAAAAAAATATATTTTCTGAAATTAAATAATAGATCTCCTCGACTTTAAGGTTGTGATTCACAATTTGCATGTGCATGTTTATGCACGGCGCACAATTATGATGTTTGTGTGTTTGTTGGGAGCATGATACTCTCACACATATTTTTAATGTGTAAAGCACACACTGATTGTTTAGCTATCAGGTGCTCAAAAGCCCCTTTTGTTTAAGCGTAACTAACTCTAAGGCAAAACCACAGCTTGCTGAAAATCAAGCGCTGTGGGTAAGCTGCAAACAGGAGTTGGGCAAATGGAAGTTGCCAGCCATTTAAATGTTCATCGAGACACAATATTATCTCTTTGGAGACGTTATCTGCAGCAGGACAACTTTAATGACTTACTGCGTAGCGGTCGTCCACATGTGACGTCACGTCAACAAGACCACCAAAATCGGTTGGTGCATCTACGGAATCAATACAAAACTGCCACATTAACAGTTCCTGGGTTATGACCAATAAGGGGCAGAACCATATGCAACGGGTTCAGGGAGCACAACTTGCGGCCCCGACGTCCAGCGATACGCCAAATTTTGCTTCACCGCCTGGCACCACAAGCTTGGTGCATACCACATCTGAGGTTCAAAAGACCAGACTGGGACTATATGATGAGTCCAGGTTTCATCTGTACAGCTCTGATGGTCGTGCAAGGGTCTTTTTTTTAGCGACGCTTGCGTTACTCAGCGTCGTCAGGTTTGGGCGTTGGAAGTGTATTGCTACGGGCTTGCACCACAAGTCATGGGAGGGAATACAACTCATCATTGTTAATGGCAATTTTAATGGCGTACGGGGAGGACATCGCTCAAGATCATGTTGTACCTTTTGCTCAAATGCAGGGTCGTAATGTCACGTTGCAGCAGGATTCCCGCCAATTCGTTGCACGTTTTTTCACAGACTTTTGAGGCAGCATGACATTGCTGTACTGCCATGGCCAGAGCAGAACATGTCTGGGATGAGGCAGAGCAACACCTACGACATGACCAGAACCAGCACGTAACACTAGCTCAGTTGGACCAATGCTTGGTTGACATTTGAAATAACATCCCGAAGGCTATTTTCAACCATCTAGTGTATTCAATGCACCCCGCTGACTCGCCTTTATCAACGCATGTTCACATCCGATATTGACATTATTAATTGAGTTGTTACACCATCCCTCGTTTCGGTCGTTTCTCTCTGTCTCCTGGTACCAGGTATGGGCTTATCAATGAATGTGTTAAATGTGATAAAACATTGATCAGACGAATGACCAACTAATATGTTGTTATGTTCAATAACATAACATTTACACCACTTCATATAAAGTTACCGTTACTTGTTTTGTTAGTATTCATTACATGTGTTATTGTGTGTGATTTTATAAAGGGTCAATAGGGCTGGAACACAGATGGTTTTGTCTTCTTGTTCCTCTAAAAATCTTAAATGTGTCCACTATGTCTGGTAACGCTCTTGTCATTTTATTGCAGGAGATACCAACATGATAGTGCTGGGAGTTCTGATACCTTTTGTTGTTATTGCCCTTCTGGGAGTACTTGGATTTCTGTATTGGAGACGAAAAAAGAGGTAATCCACAATTAATGAAATCAGTGGAACTTTGAGTAGGCTCTGATTATAGTATTGTGAAGAATACGTAACCTTGCTATATTTCAAACAGGGATTGTTAGAAAGTCTAACAACTTCATTTTTTTAATAGGATATATAACTTCTTAGAAAAGGTACCCAGTTTTCGTTAGATATTTCTTGCGAGTCGAGCTCATAAAGCTACAATTATCTGGACAAGGTATTGTGTAAATGGAAACATATTGTCAGGAACTTATCAAACCATACCAGTAGATGATCCAGCATAGATTTTCAATAATGAACTTCACTTGATTTTATTTTTTTATCCACAGAGAGTCGAACCAAATCACACGAGACAGTGAAGCAAGTACACCAATGACGTAATGCATACCTACTCTCGTGCTCAATAAGTATGCCTCTCCAGTGATCTCAAATGATGGAAGTGGAACCTAAAGTGATCTGAACGTGACGAAAGAAGAGCAATTAGATATTCTAATTTGTCTGCGTTATTTAAAGGTTACATCCTCTTGATGTTTTCTTAATGGGATTAGCATCTGGAATGTCTTTCATATATCATGCCCCCATGGTGTAATGTTTACAGCTGGTCTTTAGCTGGTGAGTGTAGGACTTGTTAACTAAATCATCTTTTTTAGTATGAATGTAACAGCCAAATGCCAAGTAATGTTACTGTTTCCCACTTGCATTTTGGCCAAGGCGGGTAACCCATTTGGTGAAAGGCCATTATTGTCTGTGGACATCCTGTTTTCTTTTCAGCCAGTCATGGACTCCTTTATCAATCAAATGTTTATTTTCTGAGTCACGTGTAATTGCATGTGAAAAAGGTCTTCCATCCGCATGTTAATTTCTGGTTTCATGGCATTGGTATGAATGTAACAGCCAAATGCCAAGTAATGTTACTGTTTGTGAAAAGGTGAAAAAGGTCTTCCATCCGCATGTTAATTTCTGGTTTCATGGCATTGGTATGAATGTAACAGCCAAATGCCAAGTAATGTTACTGTTTGTGAAAAGGTGAAAAGGTCTTTCATCTGCAGATTAATTTCTGGTTTCATGGCATTGGTATGAATGTAACAGCCAAATGCCAAGTAATGTTACTGTTTGTGAAAAGGTGAAAAGGTCTTTCATCTGCAGATTAATTTCTGGTTTCATGGCATTGGTATGAATGTAACAGCCAAATGCCAAGTAATGTTACTGTTTGTGAAAAGGTGAAAAGGTCTTTCATCTGCAGATTAATTTCTGGTTTCATGGCATTGGTATGAATGTAACAGCCAAATGCCAAGTAATGTTACTGTTTGTGAAAAGGTGAAAAGGTCTTTCATCTGCAGATTAATTTCTGGTTTCATGGCATTGGTATGAATGTAACAGCCAAATGCCAAGTAATGTTACTGTTTGTGAAAAGGTGAAAAGGTCTTTCATCTGCAGATTAATTTCTGGTTTCATGGCATTGGTATGAATGTAACAGCCAAATGCCAAGTAATGTTACTGTTTGTGAAAGGGTGAAAAGGTCTTTCATCTGCAGATTAATTTCTGGTTTCATGGCATTGGTATGAATGTAACAGCCAAATGCCAAGTAATGTTACTGTTTGTGAAAAGGTGAAAAGGTCTTTCATCTGCAGATTAATTTCTGGTTTCATGGCATTGGTATGAATGTAACAGCCAAATGCCAAGTAATGTTACTGTTTGTGAAAAGGTCTTTCATCTGCAGATTAATTTCTGGTTTCATGGCATTGGTATGAATGTAACAGCCAAATGCCAAGTAATGTTACTGTTTGAGAAAAGGTGAAAAGGTCTTTCATCTGCAGATTAATTTCTGGTTTCATGGCATTGGTATGAATGTAACAGCCAAATGCCAAGTAATGTTACTGTTTGTGAAAAGGTGAAAAGGTCTTTCATCTGCAGATTAATTTCTGGTTTCATGGCATTGGTATGAATGTAACAGCCAAATGCCAAGTAATGTTACTGTTTGTGAAAAGGTGAAAAGGTCTTTCATCTGCAGATTAATTTCTGGTTTCATGGCATTGGTATGAATGTAACAGCCAAATGCCAAGTAATGTTACTGTTTGTGAAAAGGTGAAAAGGTCTTTCATCTGCAGATTAATTTCTGGTTTCATGGCATTGGTATGAATGTAACAGCCAAATGCCAAGTAATGTTACTGTTTGTGAAAAGGTGAAAAGGTCTTTCATCTGCAGATTAATTTCTGGTTTCATGGCATTGGTATGAATGTAACAGCCAAATGCCAAGTAATGTTACTGTTTGTGAAAAGGTGAAAAGGTCTTTCATCTGCAGATTAATTTCTGGTTTCATGGCATTGGTATGAATGTAACAGCCAAATGCCAAGTAATGTTACTGTTTGTGAAAAGGTGAAAAGGTCTTTCATCTGCAGATTAATTTCTGGTTTCATGGCATTGGTATGAATGTAACAGCCAAATGCCAAGTATTGTGCTGTTTCCCACTTGCATTTTGGCCAAGGCGGGTAACCCATTTGGTGAAAGTCCATTATTGTCTGTGGACATCCTGTTTTCTTTTCAGCCAGTCATGGACTCCTTTATCAATCAAATGTTTATTTTCTGAGTCACGTGTAATTGCATGTGAAAAAGGTCTTCCATCCGCATGTTAATTTCTGGTTCCATGGCATCAAGCCACATTCACCGGATTCTAGAAAGGATCTCTTGACTTTCAGATCATATTTTGTAGGACTGTCGTTGAAATATTGAGTAAAGCCTTTTGCTGTCCAGTTGACATGATGACACACAAGCACGAAGCCTAACCACCCTGTCAATCTAAGTCGCCTCTGAGGACAAGTATGTGCTACTGGGGACCAAGTCTACCTCAATCCCTACGGTGGTATTTTCATTTCAGACTAGATCCTGATGCATGTGTTTTCAGGTCTTTATTTTGCATCTATATGTATCTAAATACTCAACAATTTTGCGACGAGTGAAGATTCCTGGGTAGAATAGGTCTTCAGCAACCCATGCTTGCCATAAAAGGCAACTATGCTTGTCGTAAGAGGCGACTAATGGGATCGGGTGGTCAGGCTCGCTGACTTGGTTCAAGCATGTCATCGTACCCTCAGACCTCCTTCATGTAGCTTGATTATTGCTGAGTGCCGCGTTAAACAACAATCAAAACATTCTCAACCACACCCTCCGAGTCGTTTTATATCGACAAAGTTATTCCTGGTAAGGTGTATTTAGTTTTTAGTTACTTGAAGGCTCCTTCATGATGATAGTTATCAACTATTTTTATGAGTCACATCTAAGACTTTTAATAAACTGATATATGTATAAATAAATCAAAACTATTTTTCTGCAAATAATTTCAATAATACGAAAATATGCCCCCTTTTATTAGCAACAAAAATATGTGTTTACAACTGAAAGCAATAGAAATATACCTCATGCAAACTGTTGACAGTACAAGTACAATTGCATCAAGGATTCTACCGGTAGTATCAATACATAGTTTAATATGCTCTCTGTGTGTGTGAAATGTTTTAAGCACCTTTAGTAAAATCTAAATATATTTTACATTTCTATATTAATCCTGCATTACTCCTTGATGCATTTACTGCTGTTTTTTGACAGAAAGACAAACTGTGAGAGGTCCAGCTACTGAAATGAGTTGTTCCAACCAGCTGACTGGCAGTACCCTCACAAAGTAGGCATGTGACCCGGATGATGTCACATAAAGCTTTATTGTTTCCAGCATCCTTTGCTTGTTTATTACACCATTGTTTTCTCATATGATGTTCATGGTTTGTGCCTTTTATGGTGTTCCCATACGTATATTATACCGTTTTCTTACTAGTTTGTGGCTTTAGTCATGGTAATATTACAGGCGTATTGTTGTTCCATCCGCCAGTTTGAATTTGCCACATTGCCACGATTTCGTGTCTTGCGTTCTGAATTCTTTTGTTTGGCTTGGGTAATCCATTATTATGTTTACCTAGTTTTTTGTGTCTAGACTGTACAGGACCCTGTACATCATTGTCACCATGTCGCCATTGCAGTCCTTTGTCACCATCAACATTCTCGCACTACCTGAAAGTAGTCAGGAAACGTCAGACGCAATGTGCTCTTAGACACCCCAGGACGGCTGACACCACGGAGACACCTTCCCATCATCGAGATTAACGCCCTGTTGCTGTCTCCAACTCTGCCCTTGCTGTAACCCATGCCAACGATATCGTCCTCATCATTGGCTTCCGACTCTTCCGATGACGAAAACTCGGCCCTGGCGTCAGCGCTTCTCCTCTCGTCAACGGCGACAGCATCTCCTCCTTCAATCATATGTCCCGACGCAGCTCCACGTCATTTCGATCTCGTCGTTACTCCCGTAGCCACTCGCCCGTACATCATCGAGATTGTGACTGTTGTTCAGATTGATTGGAGGGATCCCTCGAAACCAAATGCTTTTTTGGTCCGAATCAACTTACTGACTGAATGGCTGATTTCTTGGCCTCTGTTGCACCGTGTCCGAGCCCAGACGTTGATAAGGGAACGTGAATTCTGGGCTCTATTGTAGTGCCACCAGTGGCTATTACAAATTATGTCCTTTCTATGCCCCTCCTATTGAGCAATCAGATTCCACCTATCATATCACTTGCATTTGCTTCTAATAAAATGGCAGTGCCCAGTCAAGACTATCTGATCGATAATGAAGATCAATATTGAAATAAGATCTACCCAAGGGAAGTGCATCAAATCACTTGAGCTCCTTGACTAAAAACATGAACAGATTTGTAAAATGTCTGTCGACAAACAGTTGGCTGTAAACATTTCTGGCTGTAAACAAAATTCTGTAGTCGACCAAAATCTGCACATTTAAAATTCATGTTGTTTGCGAAACGGATGTCTAGTTCGTCACACGATTTTGATTGCACTATGCATGGACTCGTTAGTCCAGCCAAAATGTAACTTGCCTTTTTCGGCAAGGGTGGAAACTGTACTTTTATAGTCAGTTAACCCACTTGCCTCGGGAAGATGGACCCTATGTTGACTGTTCTCACCTCTGCACTAGATAAGGATTTTGCCAAGTTCTCCTTAACCCCGTCGTTTAAAGCGCCGTGGTTCATTCCTTTGATGTGGCTGATGGAGCTCTAATGTTAGTTGAAGACCTGCAAAGCCTACAACGATCCGCTTGGCCGATACTTGCTTGGTTTTCATTGAATCGGAAATTAATTGTTCTACGTACGCCTGGCCTCGTGGTGGGGGCGTAGTGAAAATTCTTTTTTCCTGTCTCGTTGGTACACAAGCCCACATAGGGGGTGATAGTTCTCTCTTTAAACAGGGTTCCCGTGGCTTCCGTAGACATCTCAGTACCCACCTCTTGGGATCATCATTGACTGGTCAGGACAAGGCGTCTCAAATATCATAGTGATAATTTTAGCCCCTACACTGGCCCCTACACCTTTTTCACAGAACTCGGGAACACCACTTGTCTGTCTTCCATACAGTAAACTGGGGAATGTCTGTGTGTGGAGCTTGCACCTCATCTCACGGCTACTGCACAGGCTGATTTACATATCATGTGTCAAGAACTCTCTTACTGTAAAATTCTCCAACTGGAATTAGGACAATTGACCGAATGGGAGCCATGCAGCGTATTTCTATAGATTGGTTTGCATGCTTAGTTGTACATAATGCTGCAACCACTCGACCCGACGCCTGTCCTAGTGCATGAATGTGACGGAGTTCAGTAGACCTCCACTGCCAATATGGCAGTCACGAGGCACCATTGTCATCTCGATATAAGAACGCTTATATGATGTTCAGGATATGGTGTCCTCCCTTCGCTGCAAGATCGCCTCTGTTGTCTAGTGGTAGAGCGTCCGCTAAGGGTTCGATCCCCAACCGCGTCACACCAAAAGATGTTAAAACATGGTACTTGTTGTTACCCTGTTTGGCGCTCTGAATTATGGGGCTAAAACAAGGACTGGTCGGCCTGAGTGTGAGTGGGATATGCAGGCACTTTGCTATATAAGTGCAATAATCTTGGACGCGACATAAAACCCCACATCACCTCACATCACCCTTCGCTGCGCTACCTCCCCACGAAGTGTCAGATGCTGTGTTTGAAGAAGTAATGTGCTCTTATGAGGTGACATCACTTCCAGTTCACTTGTTGGAACAACTCTTCTTGGACCCCTCACAGTTTGCTTTCTGTCAAAAAGCAGCAGTAAATGCATTAAGGAGTAATGCAGGATTAGTATGGAAATGTTAATATATTTAGATTTTGCTTAATTTGCTAAAAAGAATTCACTTAAACAGGGACTATATTAAAATATGTATTGATATTAATAACAAAAGGTAGAATCCTTGATGCAATTGTACTTGTACTGTCAACAGTTTGCAAGGTATTCTGAGGTATATTTCTACTGGTTTCAGTTGTAAACACATATTTTGAAAACTGATTGCTCTTTTGTCCTGAAATGAATTGTTATGAAAGAACTGAAATTAAACATGTAGTTTGTATAAAACCAGCATTAAATATGTTTATTAGTACAAGACTGATACTTCATGACCATCAAGTCTTGCTAGACTTCCTTGAAGATTGTGTGTAGATAATAACATGGCAATTAATGGTGATATACCTATGCTTTTTTTTTACCCAATCAACCCCTCAATCTTGTGATTTGGTTTAACTACTGTGGACAAGTTGAGAACAAGTGGTCACACGTCATTCGGACTGAAAGCCAGTGAATTAACCTCAGTGGAAAAGTATTCTGGGTCACAACAGTAGACTAGTAAGTGATGTAATTATGAGTGACTTCGGATGAAGTAAGTGTATGTTTTCCTGGGCAAAAGGCAAAAGTGAAACAGCTGAGTATAGACAATAGAACTATAAAATCTGCCAATTTTGGGCTCAATATAGCATATGTGTTAAGTGCATTATTTCTGTTTGTTTACCAAAGGAAATTGTTAATTGCTTATTTGTAACATGGGCTAGTTGACAGGCAATTTATTGGTCTGAAAAGCTAATAGTCAACACAGGCAAACTAAGAACTAATCGTTTTTTAAGCGTATCTATGGTGATGAAAATATGTAACAATGTTAATGCCCTGTCATTATTACAATTTGCTGCAAGTATTACAATTTACCTTTTTATTACAATTTACGTCGTAACACCCTGTCATTTAGAAGTGCACAAGCAAAGTTCAGATGCAGTGTTGACTCCATTTGTTTAGAACCCATGTGAAAATCTGCCTGTTGGTCAGCAGACATGTCCCCTGTGCAATGGCTGTGTTGTGGAGTACAAACTATATTTTTTAATGTGTTGTGCAATTTATGACAATTTACATTTTAACTATTTTTAACAGGCATTTTACTTAAACCTATCAATTTATGGTTTATCACTTTAGAACAATTTATGTGTTCAGCAACCTAGTCAAGATTAACTGTGGTTGGTCCATTGATAGCATAAGGCATTTGTCATTTGCCATTTGTCTTGGTTCTCCGACATCGCCTTGTCGTCATAAAGTATGCAGCTCGTTTCATTTTCATTTCATTTTGAAAAAAGAAACAATCAGTAACTATTCTGCATCTTGAAATCACCATATCAGCAATGAAAAGGTGCCCCACTAAAAATATGTGATATGGCATGCAGTTCCTTCCCTTTACATGCACATTGTTTTACTGCATTTTTGTTCTTATGGCAGTTGTAAGAGTTTGTATGCAAACATAGGCATTCCAATAAACAATCACTATTTACAATTTTAATTGTATTTAATGTATGCTTTGTTTTATACCCAAACATTAAGATTACCATGTGTAGGCTACATTGTCTTGTGACCCGTGAGGATCCGGGGTAGAATAGGTCATCGATCCCAATTGCGTGGATCGATGCTCATGATATCAATCACTGGATTGTCTGGTCCAGGCTCGGATATTTTACAGACCGATGTCATATAGCTGGAATATTGCTGAGTGCGGCGTTAAACAACAAACCAACCAACCAACATTGTCTCGTAAAATAAGTTGACATTGTATCTCTGATGTCTAAGGTCCCTTTTCAAGGCGTCAATAGCTTTAATCTGAACATAGTTGCTGTAAATAATGGTGAGTTGGTGCAATGAGGATTAACATTTTTCAATATGTATTTGTTGACATGCTATTTCAGATGTTAGTGTTCTTGTTAATGTCTTTGTATTGGGTCGTCACGCCGAAGACCCGGGTTCGATTCCCGACATGGGTACAATGTGTGAAGCCCATTTCTGGTGTCCCCCGCCGTGATATTGCTGGAATATTGCTAAAAGCGTCGTAAAACCATACTCACTCACTCACTTTGTATTGGGAAACAAAATCAAAACTGATTGTAAGTGCAGTAGAACACGGATATAACGAACAAACGGAGACAACGAACTGTTAAAAAATTGGAAAATGGTTTTGAGAAAGTTAATACTTATTTACTGGATATTAAAAAAAGTGAGTCAAAGGTGATCATGAAAACAAATATGCATCAGGTATATCGGGTATATTAGAGCACACAATGTACTGCCATTTTCGGCAGACAATGTGTTTAGTATTGTTATTGTTATTTTTCACTGACTGCTGGGTAGTATTTTTGCTGTTTCAATGTGTCACTTCACCATTGAAAATTAAATTGAGTATATTTTCTCACCCTGTTGTTCACAATGTGAAAATTGTATAATGTAACTATAGAGAACATTCTTCTTACACTGAATAGAATTTGGTTGAATTTTACAATGTCTATTGTTTTGTTCCTCATGATGTTGTTGGTGAATCTTAGACATATCGCTTGTTTATATCCAATGATGGTGCTGAGAGTCATGTAACTATGACAATGCCAAAAGTGCATTAGCTATGGTAATAAAGAATCTCATTCTCATTGGCCACCTTTACCTTGTATTTCAAAGCTGGTAGATAAAACTGTTATCAACTAGCCAGGGACAGTTGCCAATATATTTTATTGTAAAATGTGCTTTCTACTCATTTATTTAGGTATTTATTTAAAATGTTTTCAATTTAATTATGAATATCACAATATATCACTGTTTGTTTCATTGCTATGTCACTGCTTTGCACAAATAACTGTTAACACGATGAAGTACAAGTCTTAATCAATTTGAGTGTACGTTTTGATTTTTAATGTTTGGCTTGTTACACACACGAAATCAAGAGAAACCAAGTGTTTTAACATCACCAAAACCCTGAAGGTCAGACACTAATTGATTATTGATGAAAACTTGTAAGTACATGTAAGTATTGTGTGCACTAAAAACAAATATGCATCAGGTATTTATATTAAAGCACACAAAGAACTGCCATTTTCAGCACAATTTAGATTGTGTTCCAAATTGCATAGATACAGTTTTGTTCCTTTAGCCATGCAAGGTGAAATCGCAATGTTTAGGTGAACTGTTTACCAACCTCACTTGATAGATAGCAGATACTCACTGGTTATGAATGTGTCCTCTCTCTGAAAGTTGGAGTTATGTGTAGATAATTATGTATACAGGTTTCAAGATAAATAACGGATCAACTAATTACTCGTATTATTACATACCTTTGAAATAATAATAAATAATTTGAACTTTGCAAAACATGTGCCTGTTTATCCAAATTTACGAAAAAAACGCGCCGAAGAAGTTCTCCTTGTTATGAAGCCAGTGTAAACACCTGCAGAAGCCCGGCATTGTAGTTTCAAATAATCTTTTCTATCACAACTACAAAGAATGGTTAGCCGATGTGAAGGCCCTAAAATAAATATAACTCTATCTCAACTACTCTTTCATGTTGACAATTATGTTAGAGAGATGAAATGCTGAGATGATATATTGGGTTTAATGAGAGGATAATAATAATAATCATAATCATAGTTATAATCATAATAATATAAATTTATTTACATGTTCAAACACTGTCTAGTTATTCGCTGGAATAAATTCAAATCATTTTACATTATAAATGACAAATTTCAAACTATCTCGGCTGCTCTTCATTAAGTCAGTTGGGGAGTAGAAAATGGAATGTATATATCCGATATTGATTCGTATATTTATTGTCGTACTGTTTATGATTAGTTAATGCATACCTTGACGGTTATGTTGGAAATTACTCGATATTGGGTTGAATGAAAGGAGAGCCAGGTTGACACTGTCAAGAAGATATAACTAATTGCCTTTATTTCACCTCATCACCTCATCTACGTTTACAAGTGAGCTTATGTCATTGTATTCCGTTTTCAACATCTCTTCACTGATACTCTGTTTTTATGAGAATGAAAGCTTATAATAATCACAGGAATAATAATCTTCCTTAAACGCTGGTGTCAGATTCCCCTTCCTCACACAACTTGGTTTTGATCCATGTTTCAGGGAAAAATGGCCTTCTTTTCGTTTATTATCCCCCGCCGCGCGAAAGAGCGAAGCGGGGGATATAGTATTCACGACCGTCCGTCCGTCCGTACGTCCGTCCGTACGTCCCACCTGTTTGTTGCCGCGATATCTCAAGAACTAAACACTGGATTGTCTTCATATTTGGAACTATGGTGTATATACAGACTCCGCAGACACCAGTCGGTTTTGGTGACCTTGATCCCATTTTCAAGGTCACAGCAGACAAATCTGCTTTTAGAGTTGGAAAACGGTGTTGCCGCGATATCTCAAGAACTAATCGCTGGATTGTCTTCATATTTGGAACTATGGTGTATATACAGACTCCGCAGACACCAGTCGGTTTTGGTGACCTTGATCCCATTTTCAAGGTCACAGCAGACAAATCTGCTTTTAGAGTTGGAAAACGGTGTTGCCGCGATATCTCAAGAACTAAACACTGGATTGTCGTCATATTTGGAACTATGGTGTATATACAGACACTGCAGACACCAGTCGGTTTTGGTGACCTTGACCCCATTTTCAAGGTCACAGCAGGCAAATCTACTTTTGGAGTTGGAAAACGGTGTTGCCGCGATATCTCAAGAACTAAACACTGGATTGTCTTCATATTTGGAACTATAGTGTATATACAGACTCCGCAGACACCAGTCGGTTTTGGTGACCTTGATCCCATTTTCAAGGTCACAGCAGGCAAATCTGCTTTTAGAGTTGGAAAACGGTGTTGCCGCGATATCTCAAGAACTAAACCTCTCGATTGTCTTCATATTTGGAACTATGGTGTATATACAGACACCGCAGACACCAGTCGGTTTTGGTGACCTTGACCCCATTTTCAAGGTCACAGCAGGCAAATCTGCTTTTGGAGTTAGAAAACGGTGTTGCCGCGATATCTCAAGAACTAATCGCTGGAGTGTCTTCATATTTGGAACTATAGTGTATATACAGACACCGCATACACCTGTCAGATTTGGTGACCTTGACCCCATTTTCAAGGTCACAGCAGGCAAATCTGTTTTTGGAGTTGGAAAACGGTGTTGCCACAATATCTCAAGAACTAATCGCTGGATTGTCTTCATATTTGGTACTATGGTGTATATGGCGGGGGATATTTCGTCACTCTGTGACAAATACTTGTTCAAAATAAAATACAAGGAAGTAAACTTTACAGTTGAAGAATAAATCCACTGATATCATATGTCAAGCCCCATACATTCCACCTATCACCAAACCGTCATTGACATGCTGGTTTTATAGGATGACGCTTAGGGTAACAACAACTATATATTATCTTCCATGTTTCACGTTCTTCGTGTTCATCAATATCATTGAAAGCTTTTACTTTAATACTGAGACTCGGACGAACGATTTTCGCATAACGTCACACAACCCTAACTATACACATCACATATCGTTATTACATTAAATCTTCATGAATAACTTTAAACCCAGAATATATAGTGTACAGTTTGCGGTGAGAAAAGAAAATTATTTCGTTGACATCAGTCGATCAGGTGAATACACGACTCATTCGTAGTTAATCTAACTGAAGGTCAGTTTCTGATATCTTGACCAAGGAACCAGTGGTCAACAATGTGAACAACGACCTACGCTGCCTGGTTTATGTGCACACAACCACTTACTTCACATATCAAATTTAGGAGGTAAACCTAGTGTGTGTTTAATATAGAGCTTTTGAAAGTAGATTTTATACCTGAATTTTTTATTCGAAACCGGAAGCAATAGCTCTTTACACTTTATAAGTATCTGTACGTCATGTTTTCCGCCTGTAATATACTGCCACACTTGCTGGGAATAATCTAGTAACCACGACACGTTATTCTGCAACGTTAATAAAGTAAGATCAATATTTGATATTGCCAAACGGGCGGGTTTCCGAAAGAAGTGCTTCTGAAATTTTCGTTCGTGGTAATGTGGTCATCTGCCAAATCATGGCCACGAGTAGATGTGATACCGTCGGCGGACCAATCATAATGCAGGAATGTTATGGTAGACTAGTTAATGTGAGTCTCACGTTGTACTCATTCACACTCACACCACACAGTATTACCTTCACCTGTCTGTTTTCTACGAACAGCAAATATGACGACCACGGCGATGACGACGATCAGCACAGAACAAACAGCAGCCACGTAGATGATGGAAGCGACGCCAGCTTCAGTAACCTCACGTGCTGGAACATTAAATAAATAACAAAAGCATTGTTTAGGATTCTAATGTTTCCGACATATAACATATGGAATAAGCAGTCACTTTAATTTCTTAATGTGGTGAACTTCAGTAGAATTGTCGCACGTCTTACGAGTTATCGGAACAGTTTCGTTTGTCGAAATTAGGTAGTAAATAAACAATCGATATCTGTCTTTTATACAGATCTTTGTTAATTTGATTCTGAATAAACAGAAACGCTTTGCTATTTGAAAGAATCTCAAGAATCACATTGACGTGATGTCACATCATCAGAATACAGTCAATATTACCGGTTTAAATGATTAATCATCTCTGTGGGTTTAGAGAAAGTTGAAATGAATGAAAATGAAATTGGTCATTACAGGAGTTATCCAAATAAATGTTACAGATTCTGTCTATCACCAGCAATGTTGTGGAAGTCTTACAGAAAACGTCCAGCGTCAGGTTCCGTGATGTACTTCCATGTGTATTGTTGACGTGACACGTGTACTGTCCAGACACAGATCTGTCTACAGCTGGTATATACAACACAGCCTCCCTCTGTCCCGTGATCACCCTCTGTCTGGATGTGTCCCACCAGGTCACAGTGCAGGCGGGGTTACAGTCAGCAGAACATCTCACTGTGAGAGGGTCACCTTCTTCTGCCTTTAGCCTGCCACTTGCGGGGTTAAACTGTATCTGGCCAGGTCCATCTGGAATGTTTGATGTACTGTGGTTGAGGGGTAGGATGGGGAAGGAGGGATAAATGAGTGAGTCAGTGAGTGAGTTGGGTACAACAACGCTTTTAACATTATTCCAGTTAGATCAGGGTGTGTCGGCTCTATGTGGTAGGACAGCCCGAAGTAATGCAGGTCTCAGACGTTTACCACTTCGGTGAAACCCGCGAGCATATCGTGCTGACAAACCTAGAGACATAATCGGGGCGAACCTGGATTCGAACCCACAATCAACTCTGCACAGCAAATCGCGGTGCCTTAGACGACTGGGCCCCGGAAGGAGGGATGAAACGCTGTAACTTTCACGATCAATTAAGGTCAGTGTTTCTAGTTAAGGGAACACCCGATCATAAATTATTGAGGTTATACACACTTTGCATGATGACCTTGACCTTGACAGTCAACCCATCTTATTACAGAATAATCAGTTTTACATATGTAGTGTTGCTTAAGAGTATGTTGGTAAGTACGTATGTGATAGACATATATTTTTACCTAAATTAAAAATGCACTGATGCAGTGGCCATTTGAATTTGTCGAACCTCCGGCAAGTGGATGTACAACCTGGTATGTGAACATGAAATTGATATATCCTGTGGACAACGGACGTCGGACGAAGCCCATTATACAATTTTACACTGACAAAAAAGGGATAGTTTAACTGGTGATTAGCAACAGTGCATATAGCGTTCATACCTGATGGTACCTGCAAGGATTTCTTCCTGATAGAATGTATACAAGTATTCTTAGAATACTCAAAAAAAGAATGCACAAAGCATGTATCATAGCGTACTGGAAAATTGTTGCTTTTGAAACAGGAGTAAACGTGGCGATAAATAATAACAGCCGCTCACACATGACAAGTCAAGATAAGGTAGGAGATATAATCAGAAAGTTTGCTTATGACCTAATACATGTTTATTTTGTATTTGCATTTGCAACGCGGGTGTGTTAATGTGGCATGGCCGTGGTTAACAGTGAAGAGATTTGAGACGCACAAATCAGTATCACGCATGGACGCTGAGTTTAGGGCCATCAAACAATGATCGATCTATGAGTAATCGATTGAAAGTTGAAAGATTAATATGTTGCGGCCTAGTGGTTGCCAGCAAGCCAGTCACAAGCGTTAAAGAAAGAGCACGGCGTCATTAGCGTCAGGTACTTGCGTCATTGGCGTCACATGTTCAGTGACAAGATTTCTTTCAGGTCTTATAGATAAGTCGTGTGTGGAGAGGTTTACAATGGAAAGCTTGCATACCTTAGAAGGTAAATGAAGTGTGTTTAAAGAGAATATTTCAAGCTCTAGTTTTATAGGGCCACTACATGGGTCTGTAGAAAGGACGATTTAGCATAGTAGCTTAACACATGCAATAGATATTCTAAGAACAACAGTATACCATCTTTTAAATTATGCTTCTTAAAACAGTTCCATTAAAAAACACCGTCTCCTTGAATAAATATATTGTTGTTGAGACTACATTCAAATTGTTAACAACCATAAATGGTGTATGAATAAGAAATATGTACCACGAGATATCGGTCATAGGAGGTTAAACTGAGGTTTCACTATATGCTATTCAGCAATGTTTGTTCAACATGTCATGGTATTTGGTATATGTTTAGTTGGTAATGGTTCACATATGTTTTAGTTTTACCTTGATTTTAGATTTGTGCCTTACCATGCTCATAACTCATCTAAAAATGTATTTTTTGACTCCTAAACATCCCTAGACCGCCTCCGTGGTCAAGTGGTAGAGCGTCCGCCCGGACAGCGGAAGGTCCGGGGTTTGATCCCCGGCCGCGTCATACCAAAAGACGTTAAAAGATGGTACTTGTTGTTACCCTGTCTGGCGCTCGGCATTAAGGGGCTAAAACAAGGACTCGTCTGCTCGGAGTCAGTATACTGTGTCTGAGTGGGGTATTCATGTTAAACTGCGTCATGGTATCTCAGTGGGCTAGCACTATAAATCTGCATCAGTCCGGACCAGTACAAGCAGACACACACACACACACACGTACATGCACGTCGCTATATAGGTACAATAATCTTGGAAGCGACGTTAAACCCCATTTCACCTCACCTCACATCACCGTAAACATCTCTCAAATTGCCAGACTGATAAATATGTATGCTTCTTCTTGTGATGACATCACATTTCGTGCAATCGAAATAACTTAGTGTTTGTTTTTTATCCTGTGTATATATGCTGAAAATATATGAACATCAATGCTGACAGTAAAGTTTTAGTCTGCGTTGATATTTAAATCCCTAGACAACATAACCAGGTGCCGTGAAAATATTTGTATAGCGATCATGAATTTTCTATATACCTTCTGAAACTGCTACCTATGAAGCTGAAACTTTTCACAGCTGATTTTGACTTTGGTGTCTACTATTCCGACACGACCCGCCGACATACTTTGATAATACTTCCGAACATAAACGTTATTATGAACAATGCTTCAGAAAATACAGTTCTCCCAAAACTGTCGCTCAGAACCACAGTTGCAAAGACAAGGTATACTTCTTTCTCATACCTTAAACAAGGTAAGTGTTTACTCACAGTGAAACTCCAGTACATGTCCGAGACTCCAGTCAGACTCTAGCCCCTCCTCCACAGCCTGGCAGGTGTAGATGTGTCCCTGGTTCTCTCTGCTGATGTGGGTTATTGTCAGGGCATCTCCACCTGTATTTAGCCTATCACCAGATCCTAGCATGGTCCTGTACCTCCTCCAGGTGTAGATGTCTCCCTGGTTCTCTCTGCTGATGTGGGTTATTGTCAGGTCATCTCCGCCTGTGCGAGACCCGTCACCAGATTCCAGCAGGGTTCTGTTCCTCCTCCAGGTGTAGGTCATGGTCAGTGGGGGGTGGTCCGGGGGCAGACTCTGGCAAAGTGCACCTGCAGAAATTGTCTCACCACGATGTAGTTTATCGTGAAGGTAATACACTTTTAGTGAACTTGGATTTGGGTGATATCGGGCGTTGTAATGTTCTTCAGTCCTCTTCAGACAGTTTTGGAAAGAATTTTGTTTCTAGCTTCACCGTTTTGTGATTTGTAACTTGTATTTTGTGAATTGTGTTGAATTAGTCCGACAGTGTAGGCTCATTCTTAATTCTTCGAATTCGGTCATAATGAACCATGTAAACTGTACATGTTCGTTCGGCGAAATATATAATCATCTGTATTTACATATTTAATTAGTTTACTGTCTAAACTACTTTCAGTACAAATAACAAATTAAAATAATTTCAGTTTGTTTTCCTTCGTTTAGTTGGAATTCTCACCGTAAATACAAATTGAGTTCTTGTGATCGAAATGTTAACGAATGAATGTAGCGAAAGTTGTCAGGTAGAAGTCAGGTCCCACAATCAGCCAATCAAATAGCAGCACCTGGGCTAACAAATAGTATTGCATATAAAGATAGTGTAGTATGTGTGAGTTAGGTGGGTTTAACGTTGTATTACCGTATTACATCTATATTACGGCGTGTCAGCTTACCATGGGAGGAAAGCCCGCAGTACTGCAGGTCTCAGGCGTTTATCGCTTCAGCGAAACCCACCAGCCATGGTATGTTACTGACACTCCTAGAAAAAAAATCTGGGCGAATAGGGATTCGCACCACATTCACAGGTAACGGCTTGTTAAGGCAATCGAGACGTATTCGTGACTAGTTTGCTGAGAAAGTAGATTCGTTGACCTGGCACATGAACCGTGACAATTTCCGTATCAGCCATGCCACCAGACAGAGTTGTGTGACATATGCCAGATGTTACCACAGCAAACGACATCACTTCAAGTGACAAGAGCTATTGCATTATGCTATCATCTAAAATATCAGAGGTATCATCAATGACATATGCCAGTAGTGACAAAATTTCAACCAGCAGCAGCACAATGTTAAATCTTGACTAGGTGCCCAACATGTCAGCCCGTCTGCCTACAACCGTCCATACGTCACTGTATACGGAATTGGGATATGTGCTGTGGAAATGTTTGTTTAAAGGAAATTTGCTTTGTTAATCATTTAATGTAATCAATACGAAACCAAATATGTGGTATGAGTAAGTTCATGAGCAAGTCAGTTGGATGTATTAAGTCTCTTTGAACAGTGTTTCACTTATATTGAGGCGTCTCAGCCTGATGTTGGTGGAAACCAAAAGCGTCGCAGGTCGTCAGTGTTTTTTTGGTGACATAAAAGCGACAAAACCATCTCCATATTCATAAGAAATTGCTGTTAAATCAAAAACCGACTACAACATAAGCATATGTTTTAGTCTGTTTTCAGTCGTACAAATGGGTATATCATACCTCTAGTCGCACGTTAAAAGGAAGCCAGAAGCTGGAATGTAAACAATAAACTTGTTTCCGTCCGGTTGCGCACGCACCTCCCTATGACATGTCACAAATCTCTCAGCGCGCCTCTGAGCTGGTCGCTCGAGAAGGACTTTCGCGATAGACTGCTAGTTTGTTGTCTACTAGTACTTATCGTGTGTCTACAGTTGTTGTTCTAATAAAGTAATGATAATATGTCTTCCCTGTAGACTCCTGGAATGTAATCCTTGGTAATCCATTGTTTGTGTTCAACACGTGTTTCACTGTTTGACTTGATTATACACGTGGCAACATGTCGGGCATTGGTGCCTCGTGTCAACGAAAACTGTCTAAAGTAGATCCTCACAAGTATTGTCCTTCCTGCATAATTAAGGACGGGTTTTCAACGTGTTCGTGGGATAAACGTTGTAAAGAATGTGAGTACTTGTCTTCTCTAAACTTTAACTTGTATCTTCGTGCGTTGGCGACGCGGGCTACTGACCAGCGCTACAAGCAGAGAAGGTCATCGGGTGGATCCTTGGACTCTGCACCCTCTACATCTGGCCCTGGGGGTGGCGCGTCGGCCACACCCAAGAAATCAGTTGATAAAGACCCGCCTCAGTCAACTTATGTTTTCGACAAGACACGTGACCGTTC